GGAATTTAACACTACTCATTTTTTTATGATTCGTTTGATATAGCAATAAAATGTTTCCTTCTTGTACATCGCTCGCTCAGAGAGAGCAAAAACGGCGGGAGCTTCTTGAAAGAGCTCAGCGCCGCGTTCGACAATCCAACACTAAGCGTCAGATGTATGCAGGAACGTCATGGGCAAGTGATATCACGAATGGGGTTACTACAGTCCCAAAGAAATCAACAGAATCAACTCAGACCGACTCATCCGAGTCTGCTGAGTCATTAAAAAAAACACTGATTGATGGATACTCCCAAACAAACCCTGAGGTCTCAACACCCCGCTTCGCCTCACGTCTGAGCGACAGCTCAACTCCAAATGTTCGCCCTGTGATGATCGATGTTGGAGTTGATAGCGGCGTGCAGATGGTAGATAGCTCAATTAATACTGATCGTGTTAATCAAACTGATAGAAATATTCAAGCGAGACCTCAAACATCTGATGTTGGTATCGATAACACACAGCAAACAGCTGATGTTGGAATCGACAATGCTCCAAGAATGTTAGATGCTGAAACAAACATGAAAAGCATGAAAAACATGGATACCGAAGATCAAGTGGAGGCGCGATCAAGGATTAAGAAATTGTTTACCGCCAATCCTAATTCGGTAGCGCTTCGAACTAAGCCAATTAAGCGTAAAACCGATAAGGATGACAATAGATACTTTCTTGGTGAAAAGGGGTCATTAATTGCAGCCAAAACGGGTAGAAAGAGTAAGACTTATTAATCGATTGACTGGGTGGCTACAGAGGAGAAGATTAGGGACATCTGGTATGATGGCGAAAGTAAATCAATCGATGAGAGCAGTTATATGAGACTTGAAGACCCTCTTTATCACGTTTCACTGACGAGAAAACGAAAAATCGCCGATTTAAGTGAAGGTGATGATGCATTCCGTTCAAGACAACGTCTTGAAGACAGCTTCGAGTTTGACACATCGACGTCAACCTCATTAGATCAAGTTGATAGTAGGAATCGATTGCTTTGGTCTATTTTTAAGAATAAAGCAGTGCTTGAGTCGGCTGGTTTGAAAAAGAAAATCATTCCTATCCTCAAGAGCATGAGTAAAACATCTCAGGTGGATAGAACTGGATGCGTGTGGATTGATGGTTCATCAATTAGTGTATTTGGTATTGATAGTGAAAGAGTCAAGCCAGCGATTACTAAGAACGTCGATTGAAGATCTACATTCCAAAAATTTATTGATTTAGTCAAAGATCGTGGCGATATCGATCTATTTACTAATGAAGACACCACCAAACTTGCAAAAGCCTTTGAGCCACGCGATGGTGAGGCTCGGCATAGAATTAAGCTTGGAATTGATGAAGATATGAATAGTTCTCTAACTAATGCTGATAACGATGCGAAGAAGATTCTCATGGTTACAGCAAAATAGCATCTGAAGGAGTTCGAATTCCCTTTAGACTGAAACCAATAGTAGATACCAAAAGTGGTGTGAAAGCTAATCAAAATTTCTACTTTAGTGAGCCTACCGCAGCAAAACCATTTTACATTAGAAACCACGAAAACAAAGCGGTTTCTGGCAAGGTTTTCAACGATCTTATGAAAACCATTAGATGGATGGATACTTTCAATAGCCTGATGACCGGGTTTGAAGACATAGAGCGATGCGTCTATGAGAATGATGATCCAGCATTGAAAAAAATCTCGAAGCTTATCTTCAGCTATTGAATCGAGCGATCCTCGACAATACAAAATCGACAGATACATCAGCTCGAATCAAATCCTCAGAGGGTACTCAATATCGCGATGACACTTTGCAAAAACTCCACGATGAGTCAGAAGCCGCATTCCAAAAGTATGGCGAAGCTCAGAGGAAATACGATGAGGCGAAGCGAACAGTAAAGGGTAAGAACTCAAAATCCGCAAGATCAGCGTTGAAGGCGGCAACCGCTGCCATGAAAGCGACCAAGGCTGTCTATCAAATCAAGGCTAAAAGCTACTCCGATGCTAAAAACTACACCGAGGTTGATCAATTCAGTGATCGACAAGACGAGCGCACGGTTCGCCAAACTGTGAATAACATGGTTGATCGAGTGGGGTCAGCGGTTAAGAGGAATCTTCAGGGTCGTGGGTTAAGAGGAGCCGGTGTTGCTCCACTCGAAGGTGTCGTACGACGCGGTCGTACATACAACCTCAATGAGATTCAAGGCTTAGCTACACCTTCAGCTTATGTATAACGTCAGCTCGGAAGCAAGTATATCCGAATTCCTGACCTTGATAACAAAACCCTTGTCATTATTCAGCCTAATCGCCGCAAATGCGGACCCAAATGTCAAATCAGTGATAGTCTACAATCAATGATCCGAACTCTTGTGTATAAAAATCATATCGATCAAGCTTCATATGACAAGCTCAGTATCGATGATAGAAAACTGTTCAAAGAGATCCTTGCGATTACACATCTTCAGTATAACTTCCATGACCACCTCGAGGATCCGTTAGACTCTCTAAGAGCTGAATATGACAAGCTGAAAGGAGAGCTTAAATTAGGCAATGATAATCCTTCAATTATCAAACAGCTTAAGAGTCTCTCAGTGGATATGTACAGCGGACGTCTAATTTCGGATTCTGAGTTTAAGGAAATTATCACGCGACTACAATAACCATGTTCTTTTTCAATCCCCGAATTATTTCCAGCTCAGGCGGTAGATATGGCGACAACGCTGATTTCAACGTCGCAGAGCTAAAAGCCATCATGAAAAATCTAATCATCCATGACCGCCCTTAAAAGACCCAGGCAGCTGTTTGAACAACGGATCTTGACAAGACGCTCAAGAAAACGGATGCGTCAACCCAGACGGAAGGAGGAAAAGTATGGGCATACTCAACTAAAAAAAATCGAAGTCTGTAAAGACGTTTGCTATCTAAGCAATACCAGATCTAACAGCTTTATTCGCCATTCCGCGATATATACTAATTTTTTTCTCTCCAACATGTATTTCCATGATAGCATCTTCCCCCGTCTTCGCATCTCTGATAGGAACGAGTGCACTATCTCCGAGAGCTACGATCTGATCAGCGCGCATGAATGTGGAAGCAATTGCCTGAGTAGGTTCATCAGCAGTTAAATTCGATTTAAGATCTTTGCTTGGTACGCAACCCATTTCTTGTATATTATTACCAAAGAAACTTCTTAGCATAGAAATCCGCTGATGGTTCTGGGTAATCAACTTTGTGTCTAAGGTAGTATCAATGACGTCTCTCCTCATCATTATGATCAAGATGACTAAAAGCCTTCAGAGGCGTTTGATCCCGATATTGGGCGTATCCACGAGTCCCGAAATTAACCTTGCGCAACTTTCCCGTATTAAGACGTACCCATACTCGATACTTCTTGATCTTCAAAGGGCTTAACTCCAAGCGCTCAATCCTCATGACTCTATATTAGCCAAACGATCTTTTAATCTATCTATCTCACCCAAAAGATGCTGAATCATCTTCATATTATAAGCCGATATTCGACTGTAATCAACGTTGAGCTGTTGCTTAGCTGGTTCAAGGCTTGGGTCTTCTCCCCCTTCAATATCATCTCTGTTAAAGATCCATATCAAATCAGTTAGATGGGCTGAGACCAAATCCTGAGCTATGAGACCGATTTCTTGTCCAGGCTTGTTTTCCGACTCGATCCAGTCATAGAGCTTGACCTCACAGCTATCGTAGAGCCGCTTCACACGATCAATTGGGCATGATTGAATATTCTTTTTAAGGCGTCGATCCGACGTCATCGCCATGGCTGTACAGGCAATGTATCCTCCGAATATACCCGCTACTGAATATGTGTTCGGGCCAAGAGCGGATTCTGTAGCTCCACTATCTGTTCTGAGGCGATACACTGTCGTTCCGCCTGCTCCAAATACAAAACTGTTGCTGCCAGGGACGTGCAGCGGAGCCGAAGGACTTGTAGTACCAAGACCAAGACGACCTGTGGTAGTTAGAATCATCGACGTCGAGTTATTGACCCCAAATTTGAGGTCGTTGTTTGTGATGTTCCCGATCCATGACGCGTTCGCTGTGGTTGATCGATTGCCATTATGGACTTGGATCTGGAATTGAACAGGAGTCGTATTCGACCCGGTTAGAGTCATCATTCGTGTGTAAGAACCATCAAGAAAGTCCAATCCACTACCAGTAATCGAGAATATTCATTCGTTGCTGTAGAGTTGATCCCAAGCTCTGTCAGCGATCCTACTGTTGTTATAGCTGATTGGTTTCCATACGCTAAAAACCCATTGATAACGCCGAAGCAGCTGATATCCCCACTCGTTGACAGATTATTGAGCGAGAGGGAAGTCGGAATAGATGTTAAAAAGCTTGATAGGTCATAATACGTCGAGTCCTGGCGCAAGTTCGTGCAGGTCAGAGTAGTAGCCGCTACCGAACTTAGGCCTCCGATATTCGAGCTTGAGTCGCATAATAGGAGTTTATTTGGCGTTGCGGTACCAAAACTAACTCCGTTTATGTATTCAAAAAGGCCCAAATCGTATATAGTCCCGTTCTGGCGATATTCTCGACAATCGATGTAGCTTGAAGTGCCTGTTATCGATATCGAGTGCGATGACCCACTGAACGATAAATTTCCACCGATCGTAAGACCTGATTAAGAGCCGAGAGACGTTATATTTGGTTAGGATCCGGTTTGTAGCGTTCCAGTAATAGTAAAAGCTCCAAAGCTATTAATTCCGCTGATATTGCCGGACGAATCGAGAATCAAAGTTTTGCTGTACGAAGCAGTTCCTGCTATTACTCTGCTAAGGTAGCCCATCCTGTAATCATCCTTGCTCAAATATAGTGTCTGCGCATAATCGTATGTTAGATAACCACTCGAGTCTAACGAAAGATAGAATGAAGGATTATAAATGGATGATTGAAATGTAGGCTGTGGATGTGAAAAACCGGAACTCATTTTGTTTAATCCTATATAGATCAAACGATTTTAGTCATGAATGCTATTCCTGACTTTGGGGCTTCGATTCCAAATTTTTTTAAGTCTGCTTCGATGGGTGATATCCCCGCATTGGATATGGAAGCTTTGTTTAGAATGGTTGTGCTCGGTCCAAGCTTTTCAGGAAAGAACAATCTTTGTATGTTTATTCTCAAGCATTCTCCTCACGTATTTGCTCATCTAACTATCATTGCTCATAATCCTCATCAGGAGCTTTATGAGTATCTCCGGGAAAAGTTGGAAGGATTCATCACATTTGCTGACCCAGATAGCCCTCCTAAAGTAGATCAGGTGCGTCATACTCCATTAAGCTCTAACAAACCGGAGCTTGTTATCATCGATGACTATAGCAATGATAAACTACTTCAGAAGAATATCTTCTCTCATTACTATACACGTGGGGGACACTTTAACCCAATGAACGCCGTAATCTGTATAATACGTAATATGACATGATGCAGGTTTATGTGAATCAACAGCTTGGACGCGGCGTCGTTTAGGCTACTACACCGCATATATAAGTTTGTATAGACCACCATGGGAGTTTTTATCATTACCGATCGGCGAGGGGGAGATAGAAAGGTATTATTCGAAACACATAGAAAATTCGATATAAACGGCCTAGAGGTTTCTAAATTCTAATGCAAGCCCTTTAGCTCCTCTCTGCCCAAAACCTCCACCACTCAACCAAAAATGCCGGAAACGATTGACAGGAAGGAGTTCAAGCGTCTGTGGGGGTCGCTAAAAAAGGCTGGTTGGCGGGCAAGACCCCCTTCAGGCCTCCTCTCCGATCATGCGTATCTCAAGCCTGGCGTGAAAGGAAAGCTAGACAACTACAAGGCTGACACTGATTACTTTATCGGTACGTTGTGTTTAGCAGTAATAACTACTCCCTCTAACCCTGTGTGGTGTAGGTCCCAAGCCTTTGTGGAAGTATGCTCTGCGTGAGGGTCTAGTACCTTTCCCCCCTCAACAATGTATGATACGTCCGATGAGGCCTCCAATGGGGAAGCTTGCAGCGTACACAGCAGCCAAACGACAAGAACCAATTCCCCCCACCACAAGTGACGGCAACTTGGAACGTCAGTATTCTCCATCCCGCTCAGAGCATCAACATACTGTCGACGTTACTACGGAGGATACAGAACAAGTCCGACCGATTGGTGATGATATTGCAGAGGATACAGAACAAGATCGGTCCTCCGTTTGTGTTACTACTGAGGATACAGAACAAGTTCAGCCGGTTCGTGTGGCTATTGCCAAGGATACAGAACAAGCGAGGTCGATTGTAGATGATACAGAAGAAGGCCACTTTGTCGAAAATACTGGTATCGCTGGTACAGATCAAGAGCTATCAGTTGTTGAATGTATTCCGGAGGATACAGAACAAGCTGGACCAACGGGTGTTCATATTCTGTCGGATACCGAATTTGACGACACGGCATCCGTGGGTCACGGCAAAGAAGAATCGAAACGTGGCAGTGGTGTTGCGAATGGCTTAGATGAATTTGATTGTGATAGCTATATGGATGCGTTACGTGGAGAGCTGCTCTTTGATAAGATTGATCCTGCAGATATCAACGTTGGATATGGATCCGCAAGTGATGTTAGTAGCGAGTTGGGTACTGAGGAAGAACTGGACGTTCCTGCGGAGCCTGAATCAGTGTATGAAAGCGAGGTAGATTCTGACAGCGACTTTGATGACGACTCCAGCGCGTTCCTGCAAGACGACACCAATATGCGTCAACTCACAGCCACAGGTTGGGATATATACGATGAGCATCATTCCGGTAAGTGCAGCACATACAGAATTGCGGATCATATCAAAATCTAATTCTGTATTTTACTGAATACAGGTGATGTGGTGTTAGATGCAGCGGAGTTGTACGACGGAAGTTTTGGTCCCACCAGATCTGCCGCTGCGTTCGCCGAGTCTCCTTTGGGAATTTTCTTCTATTTTCTTTCCAAGAAGATGTGGTTTGCGTTTGCAAAGGAGTCTAACGCGTATCGAGAGGAGTGTATTCCTGCTGTGGCGAAGGCGCAACGAGACAAGCAGCTACAGGCTCAGCGCAGGGATCCTGTGAAGTCGGTTCAACCTCTTGAAGTCTTAGAAGAGCAGCTGCGCAATATGAAACCAATTCAAGCACATGAAATTCTCCACGTGATTGGCCTTCTGATTGCTCGTACACTCTGTGGTCATACGGATGGCTTGGAAAAGCACTGGGCGACGCGGGAGGACGGTGCAGTACCACGCGGTACCTTCTCCAGATACATGAAACGTGAAAGATTCCGGTTAGTTACCAGGTACTTGCACTTCACCAAAAACGACCCTGCTGCCGCAGGCACAGACAAGGCTTGGAAAGTTCGGCCCATTCTTCAGGTTCTTGAAAAAACGTTTCATCGTGGCTATCGGCTGGGGCCTCGCATCAGTTTTGATGAAGGAACCATTCCTAACAGAAGCAAGTTCAACCCTGTGCGCGTCTATAATAAGGAGAAGCCTCACAAGTACGGGACTAAAGTGTACATGACGTGCTGCGCGGAGACCGGATACTGTACTCGGTAGGCGGCTTACTGTATTCTGTGTCTGGTTACTCTGTATCGTACAGAATAAGAAACCGAGTGCTTACCGTATGCTGTATTGTGTAACATATAGGATGGAAGTGTATCTCGGCGCTGTAGAGTACTCGAAAGGTGTGGCACAGAAGGCAGTCATCAGGAACGTGACTAAGGCGCTTGATGGCCAGGCCCATAAAAGGCTTATCATCGCCGACAATTTCTGCACGTCGTGTGCTGTATTGCTGGAGTTATTGGACAAGGATCTCTACTACGTCGGTACTCACCGCAACGAGCGGCTTGGGTGGCCCAAGCCGTTCAAAAAGTACTATCGGCAACTCTTCATGAGTTTTGCGGACATGGCGATAGTCAACGGTTTTATTTTACATAAAATTATTCTCAAGCAAAAAGGGCTGCCAGTGCCAACACACGCGCAGTATATGCGCCGACTTCATACCGAGCTTTTGGCCACGAACGAAGCCACACTGCGTACAAACACCAACACCGAGGACCTCGTTTCTGAGCCTATTCACACGCAACCGCACAGACTGCGAAACAATGAGGAAAAATACAAAGGCAAGAAGCGAAAAAAACCCAGAGATGAATCAACCGCCAGCAACCTCCAGCGTAAAGGGCAGAAGCGTAAGGGCAAGCGCCGCCAGCACTTGTGCAAAGTTTGCTCAGCCTTGGCAACTCCCCAGACAAAGAGCTTTGAAACCAGTTACTACTGCGAGCAGTGCACATCCAACTTCGGAGGCTACGTACCTCTATGTAACAAGTTTCGCCACGAGGAAACCGGCAACACGCTCACATGCGGCCAAATATGGCATGATTTGTGGCGCAACGGCACTGCCATCCCTGCTCACCTCAAGAAGCGTATTCGCTTCCGCAAGCGAAAGAACTTCGAGATTTCGAGTGACAGCGACGACGGCGGCAGCGACGCGAATGAGGATTGCGTGGATATCCAGGATAGCGAGTAACTAGGCGTAGATAATGCAGCCCGTACACTCACCAATTTTTCGGCCAGTTCTTGCCTAGTTCTTCTTCTACTCTTGCTAGTCTAGAACTGGCCGAAAATTTGGTGAGCGTACGGGTGACGTAGTGGCACGCTTCGCCAGTCATTTAGGCGCAAACGAAGATTGCCCAGACCCATCAGATTCAGCGGGATACTCGAAGTAGAAGGATATGCGACGAAAGTCACGTCACATTTGCCCAATGAAATCATGACATTTTACCAGCCGGTGGGCACATTGTTGTTTTTCTACGACAGATTGCAGTCTATATGTACCTGGTCGCAGCGTTTTCGCTACATCCCATTGCGGACGGCTTGCAATGCATTAAGTTTGCAAAAGTGGCAGCTATAGTTTAATAAAGATAATCATTTACTCTGTATTATACAGAATATCGTGAAGCGGGCATTAGGTTAAACTCTCAACCATATTCCTAAGCCACAGCTACTTTGCCACTGATAAGATGATTCGGTTTGAATTCATAGTACGTAGCGATTCTAATAGCGAATTCGAAGCGCGATTTACAAGTGGTTGTAAAGGATTTTAACATTAAAGGCGTTGATGAGCGATCAATCGTCTATTACTACAATAAAGCCACGGAGCGCAAAGGACATATGCTGTTCGTGGATTCAGTCAAAGGTCAAATCAGATACAACTTTGATCGACCGATAGATATTGAGCAATAACTTTAGAATATTTTGTTTGGGTGAATCAATATACATATACCATGGCAAGTTTTGTTAAACTCGATTCCACTGACCTCGTTCAAGACAATTATAACAGCACATGGAAATACAGCTTTCCTGGTAGTGCTGCCAATTTTAAGGATGTGGTATGCGCGGTTTAATCGATTTCGATGTATAACTCTGAATACAACATCGATGCAACTCAGTTCCTGAATAACTCCTTCAAAATCGAGGTTCCGACAGTTGGAGCCACATCCACTGTATCTGTTATCCTCCCTGATGGACACTACAGCTATACCGATATTATTCGAAGCATTCAGACGGCTCTCGTAAATGCTGGAGCGTATTTAATTAATCCATCTGGTGAGAACGTTTTCTATATTCAACTAACGGAAAACAGTGTGTATTATGCTGCTCAATTCGATTTTAGCGCTACTCCAACGACACTTCCTACAGCCGGTGGCACTTGGACACGACCAGCAAGTGGGCTTTATTCGTCAGGCGGTACTGGTTTGCCAACAACAACGCGTGTCACTCGCATCATCATTGATAACGCCTCTTTTGGTAAAGTAGTAGGATTGACTGCTGGTACGTATCCTTCAGCGTCTGCAACGGTTTCAAGTGCTCAGCTGTCAAATACCATTCCTCAGATTCACCCAACCTCGAGCTACATCGTTCGATGCGACCTGATCAAAAACGAGTATGTTGCCTCTGGTGATATCCTTAGTGCGTTTGACCGTGGTGATGCTCAGGTAGGTCAATTAATCAGCTATAAGCCGAGTCAGTATGCTTGGATGAACTGTCATAACGGCGCGAGAACGTCTAATACGATCAGTATTTATAATCAAAACGATCAAAAGGTTAAGTTCCGTGATACTTCTGTCTCGATCATGTTGTTGTTGAGGCCAAAAAAATAAGCATTCAATGATTTTTTTTCTCCCAATCCGCAGAATAGGGTGGAACTAATTTAATCGAAAAGAGCCAGCAATCATTGCTTTCTTACGTTTAGCACGGAGTGCAGCCATCTGAGCCTTCATTTCGGGCGAACCTTTAGCTGGTTTCTTAGGGACTCCTACACCATAGCGTCTCTTTACCTCACCTCGAACCGATTTGATCAGGTTCTCATGCTCTGGCTTGGTTGCTTTTGATAGTAGAAACTTCTCGCCTGCATTGACTGCATCAGTTAGAATCCCCTTACGTTTAGCATACCCGAGAGCATTTTTTGCCGCCTTCTTAACATCCGCTACCGAAATACGACCACCTTCTTTCTCTACATCGAGCAAGGCTCGGACGTAGGCAGAGTTTTGAGACTCTACCAGGGGTATCGCTGTCAGAGTCATATACTCCAACTCCTGTCAATGACTTAATAGCCGCCCTTGCGGGGATTCCTGCTTGAGGGGCTCCAAACGCTGTAGCAATAGCAGGCACTGCCGCATCCAGACCCTTGCTCAGCAAATCACTATCTTTTACGAATTTGAATGCTGTCGATAACCCTGATTTGACTCCAAATGGATCCTCCTTATGGCTTCTTGTAGCCTTTCTTGATCTCATGCTTGGTAATGTCAAGTCTAACCCCACGACCCGCCTTGCGTGCCTTTAGTGCTTTCTCATACGAAGCTGGGTGGAGATGGATAACAGAGCCTGAACCCTTGAGTTGATCAGCTGTAAGACTTAGCTTACCTGTCTTGAGGGCTTTAGTCAGCTTGGGAGCTGGAACATCGCTGGAAATCGTCAATTCGCGATACATTATTGCTATATTTCCTGAAACATATTTAATACAGAATTGACAAATTCAGATCTTTGAATCGATTCAATAGATTCATCTTATTTTTTTGTTTGCAATATAGCCATAGCATGCAAAACGGACCACAATAATCGCCATAAGTGCCTTGATATTGTTTGGGATTGTATCGCCCGATGCCCTACTTCGTAGGTGCCGCTTCCCCCATTGAATCAAAGAATTCTCCATCATGAACAGCCTGCCAGTGTCCTACATCGAGATTAGGCGATCTAAGTAGAACCAGATATGATCCTTTCTTCGGAAGCGGCTTTGTGATCTCATTTGACTCAAAGATAGCATCGAGATGAACCCCAATACGCTTGGCAAGTTCAATTAGATCATGATCGGATGTAATAGGCTTGACGAGTTCCATAATAATTATATTTGATAAAGTATATTACGTGCCATATAGAATCTCAACGATGTCTGAAACACAACTTTCCGACCAATATCTTTACCAGAGCTCGCTCAAGAGTGATCCGGATATTAAAGTCTCCTCTGGCAAGCGCGTGCCTTTCGTTATCGATCTTAATCAGGGGTCATACCAAAACGGTGTTATTACTATCGATGCAACATCCCAGCTTAATGGAAGTGAAGGATTTGCTTCGCTCCGTGATGCCTACATTATGCTACCATACAAGGTATCGATGAAAAACACTCATGCTCCTACTGTTCAGGCTAATCCTGCTAATTGTTTTTGCTGGTCGCTGAAGTGCGGAATATAGGAGTGTGATCGATTCGATGAGTCTTGAGCTGAATGGTAAGACTATCGTTTCTATGGCTGACTACAAGCTGTTTTGGAGCAATATTCGTGCTCAGACTGGATATAGTCCTCCGTATGTTGAAAAGCATGGTGCAGAGTCTTTCCTCTTCCCTGATGCTGCTCAGTCGTCGAGGTACAGTGCTACGGGCTCTTTTACTGGAGACGGGTATTCGAATAACACAGCGTTCTCCTCCTCCTTCACCGCCGGCGCTATCTCTGCCACAGCTTCAGTAGCAAATGATGGTTTTGTTAAGCACCTTCTTTCGAACCCATTAAATGCTGGAGCTGACTCATCTACGTCGTGGCCTTCCACTGGTGCCGCATCTGCTACAACCACCATCGCCAATCAGCTGGGACGTGGCGCTTTCGTGGCGGGTGGCTATGCTGCTGGCGCTATCATGGGAACGTGGAACTTCATGCTAAAAATCAAGCTTGTTGATCTCCACCCGATTTTCAAGGAGCTTGATCTTATGGCTAACCCTCAAATCCGTCTTCGTTTCCGGGTTAATCAGGGTACTGTAGCTATTGATGCTGAAACTTCTCGTTATATGACGCTTACAAGTACTACACTATCGAGTGGTAATACATGCCCTGTAATGATTGCTTCGTCGGCAAGTAGTAATCCTATGGTTAGTGTTCTTTCAGGTTCAACAGCTGGTTCTACTGCTGTTTCATGGGGTGCTGTCGTTAATGCGCTTGAACCTACTATTGATGGAACCTACATGCCTTTCACGACTTCTCGACTGTATGTCCCGTTTGTTCATTTATAGAACCCTCAGGCTATCATCTCGAAGCCAGTAAAGAAGGTCCGCTACAACGACCGTTATGCACAGTGGTTTTACCAGCGCGCCGGTATTGGCAAGCAAGGGACACAGCTTAATGCTTCTTTCGATCTGCAACTTTCGGCTTCTGTAAAGAATGCGAAGTACGTCATTCTTTTACCATTTGGTGAGCAAACTGGAAACTTTACTACTGCTGCTGTTCAACAGTTTCAGAGTCCGTTTGATACGGTTCCTTGGACACTTCAGCCTGGCTCGAGCATTCGCAACTTCAATGTCCGTATCGGTTCGACTCAATGCTTCGACATTAGTCATGACTACGATTTCCACCAATTCACAAACGAGTTCGCTAAAATTGCTGCGATTAATGGTGATCTGACCCCTGAGCTTCTGAATGGACTGCTTGACTATCAGACGTGGTCTCTAACTAACCGCATCCTTATCGCTGACGTTAGCCGCCTGACGGAGCGTGATGTACCTCAGGCTATTCAGATCCAGGGTACAAACGCTGGTTGCCAGGGAACAAACATGCTTGTTTTGGTTGTGAGCGAACAAGAGCTCTCCTACGATCGTCTAACGGGAGAGGTTTTAGATTTTACCACGGCTTAGTTAGAATGTGTTTAGTAATTTCTGTCATAGGCAAAAAAACATTTTTTTTTGTCGCTTAATTAAGTTCGTTGAGTAGTTTAGGGCATTTCTCAATTACGAATGGGTTCTTACGAAGCCAATTGATATAATTAGAATCGGTGCGACTAATTTGCTTTAGCGTCTTCCCCTTGTACTTGCCCCAACTCATCATATACGAATTATCATTGCTAAGAAACTTGAAGTGAAGGAAAATCTTGATATCCTCAGTAATATTGAGACTGGGTTGGTTGTGCATCCATCGACAATATCTGGGATCATAAGCATATACTTCTTCGATCGGTGTGCCCTTGTATTTTCCAAAAGTTAGTTCGTTCGACATGTTATTAGTTATGTGTATCTATATACATAGGGTCTTATTTTTTTTTGAGAAAAATAAATTAATTCTGAAATTCAGACAAACTGGTCGAGCGGTTCTGAAACTACCCTAAGATCGAAAAGACGTTGCTTTCGCTCTCAGGTGGTCGAGAGGTTGCGTCGCCAAAATACCAGCTGCCTCGAAAGAACGTTCCAGAACTGGTCTCGGTGGTAAATTACGGAAAGTAAAAAAACTGCCGGCGTAATGTTCCATGTCATACTACTAACGTTTCTATCAGCTTTTCGATTTGAGTTTTCAGCCACTTGATCCGCTTGGTAACGGTAGACGACAGGAATTTTAACCTCTTCAGCCTCCAAGTCTAGATCTCTGCAATAGTCCGACAAATACCGGATAGATGACCCAAACACACCCAGATCTGCGCTTTCAGATTTGGGATCGATCTGAGAGGGTTTCTTACAACGAATCACTCACCTCCATAATAAACCAACGGACTTCATCAAGAATAGTTCCCTTTCATTTACTTTCATAGCTTTCCCATAACCATATTTAGGAGTGCAGCTTGAGTATTCTCATCGCTTAAGCCATCGGTGTCATTTCCACGGCCGAACGGCCAGTTCCTCCTTGACTTTTATTTGGATCATATTTCGATCATCACATAAATGGCCAGCTGATCAAATCCCTTGACCCTGTCAAAAGTTGATCAAATCCCTTGACCCTGACGAAAGTTGATCAAATCTGAAGTGACTTGAAATTGTTTGGTATACAAGACCTTCTACATGCATTTCTATATATACATCAAATTGTATATCTTTACTACTCTACGTAATCTACGCGTTCGTCGTTAAGGTGTCTGCACTTCCTCCAAGTTCCACAGGGACAGGGAGATCTAGTGGCTCAGGAGCTAGGCGTTGCCGTTTCTTCGCTCGGGACTTTGACATATCCTCAATTCGGCTGACATAGCGTTTCGATAGAGCTTGGATTATGCCGACAAATGATGGTAGAGAAGGGTGTGGAGCTGTTAGCTCCGCGTTTATCTCACGGTTAAAACGCTCTAAAATATTATAAGTACGACTTGCCATAGCAGCACCCACCTCATGAACATTTCAAACACTAGGTGTGAATGTCTTCAGCCACGTTGTACGAAAATACGACCAAAACCGCTTCCTCAACACGTCCGAATACCGAATGCTCTTGGCTACACACGTGTCTCTTATCTTGCCTTTCACAAATTTGATACCTTCGTCTTTGATCTTCTCGTGCGGAATGACACTCAGCATATCCAGACTGCCCTTACTCATTGCAATGACGACCTCACTTTCAGGGAGGCTTAGTGCCTCCATCTTCCTTCGGCAGGCCAGCTTAAAGTGAAAGTAGCAGCCGACGATATCTGCATCTGAAAATTGAACTTGTGCTGCCTTTTACAATCCGGCCTCAAAGTCGCAGACCCCCATGCTCGGCTCGATTTTGTCGTCTGCAGCGACATTGACAGCCTCCATCAAATGCCAGTACGTATCTTGGGTCTTTGACGTGCACAATGTATAAAATACAGGGACGAATAGGTCCGTTGCATGATCAAAAACCATCATTACCGCGCACTGGTAGAATGGGCGCGGGACGCACCTGAATGTCCGGTCGAGAGACAACGTAGTCTGTTTGTACTTCAGTAGCTTGATCAGATCAGGATGAGCTCAACCGACTAAGCGCTCTAGTGTTGTTCCATTCATATAGGACCTGTAAAATTGAAAGAATGGCTGTGGGGTCCCCGATACCAGTGACAGCGGCGAAACCTCCACAATACCATGCAAATCTGCACCAAAGTGAGCACGTCTCGCTCGGTGAACTCGCTGGAGGACTTACTCACGTGTAAGTCCGAATTGCACCAGTGATACTTCCTCAGGGTAGAAGTCGCTGCGAATCTGCTTCCAGATTCGTTCCGCCGTCAGGTCCATTCGAGTGATAGCCATCACATCAGTGGCCTCCTCCATGGATTCGGTAACATCTACTCCAGGTAATTCCACTCTACGCCGGTCGCAAGAATGTTCACCACGAATTTGGTACTCATTTGTCTTGATATCGTAATGTAACTTTGCCTTACATTTTGTACTCCGGCAGGAGCTTCACCTGTACGAAATCTTAACCTCCAATTTATGGTAACCTGTAAATACGTGACCAGCTGCATGGACAACAGTGCGACGATGATGCTGAACACTGTTCGCTGGAACATGCAGTGTAATACCTTCAGCGGCTTCTCCGTCTGCAGGATGCCCAGTAGAAGGTGAATTTGATATGACACACTGGTGATCGCCTTCTCTACTCAAAAAAGATGGAGGTGATCCCCTTAAGCCGCCAGGAAAACGCTCGCTGCAGGCATCGCTAGAGCCTCGTTATGGAGTTGAGCTTCTTCCCCCCGAGCTGCACATTGTCGAGGACTGCAATCGCGCCGAGTGTAAGAGCTACAGCGACGACTTGGGCTTCGCGTCGACTCGACCAGCTCACGTAACTTGAGCTTCTCCGACGACTCCGTCTCTGATCATGTCCAACGGTACGATGAGGACTTCAGCTGTAGCGGCAATGCAAAGAGCGCCAAGACGATCTTGTGCCGCGCCAGCGACTTTCACGGGGTTGTACAGAAGCGATCTGGTGCCTTGGGCTATATCCTCGGAGAGACGTGCGCCGACGACTTGTACTGCGGCTTGGACTGCGACCGCGACCATAACTCCGCCGGCGACGTGGGCTGCGACCGCGACCACGACTATGACTGCGCCGACGACTTGGACTGTACTCGCGACCGGACGAGTGACGATGACGTGAGCTGCGGCCACGACCAGCAGAGTCTTGATGGCGTGGACCGTTGCAGTGGTCGTCGACACACCAACAGCTTGGACTGCGGCAGGAACGAGACTTACTTCAGCGACGTAACATACGTCACGAAGCTGAGACGCTCTGAGAGATTGGGTTTCGCATGCGCTCGGGGCTGTGCCGAGATCTCGCAGTGCTCTGGTGCCTTGGACTGCACGGAGGCGAGCAGATAGTGGCCTCGTGAAGTGGTGAAGAAGGTGCTGGAGACGCTACAACTTGCTGGTTCATGGTCGTACAGGAAGGGCGCTACTTATCTTCGTTGTCGGGAAAGTGTAAATGACGGAGGTGGTCGACCACACATATCCATACTTAAGATGGATATTTGATCAAATCACTTGACCAGGTACGAAATAGAAGGTTGACCATTTTTGTGATGATTGAAATATGGTCCAAATAAAATACTTCGCACGCAACAATCGCAACTCTGGAATAAATAATGACGTTGACGGAGCATTCATTCCCAATACATCCACCATCTTTGGTTTGGGTCCAGTGTGGCATCCAGGTCTCATACAGAGTCTCCTGAGTAGGATTAAGAAAGTAGAACTTTGCTGTCGATCTCTTTTTGTCCTAGGTCATCTCCAGTTACAGAATTTCAATTAATCCTTTCAACATGCTCATCAATCTCCTCATCCTCGTCATACGTCTTGTAGCTGTAGCCGTGGAGCAACCGGTCCATAAAAAAGCGCAATTTCTTGTCGGTCGCAGCGAAAGTATTCGCCCCCAAGGGAGCACGAAATCTCGCACGGTTAGCACCTTTAAGACACTTCGAACCAAAGAGTTCTTTACTATTTTCAGTGTACTCATGCTCCAAAAGAAGAGCAATGGAATCATTTTTTTTTCATCTTGCTAATGGCTTTGGCAAGGTCTTCATTCAACGATTCATCCGGGTTTAGCTTCAATGGGAACATCATTGAAAGTAGACAAATTAAATACTGTTGTACACCTGTACAAGGCGAAACCCCTTTGTCACGTTTTCCCAACGCATGCTCAGCGTCAACAGAGTGAACATCATAATAAGCGAATAACGCCGAGCTACCATTGGCTTTACCAAAGTCATGTCGATACTTCGCCTCGTCGTCTCGGTATTCTGGTGCTTGAGAAAATGTTCGCCTTCTCCATATACCAGTAATTTATAGAATTACATTTTCTCTATTAATACGTGCTGCCACGGCCAACATTCGTCCAGATGTACCTATGTATACCTTTCCATTATCCAGACGGTATACGTTTGAATTAAACTCGAAAAAACAAGGCGGCTGTTCCAGGTCATACATGTAAATAATCAAGAATAATCCTGGCGACACAATCTAACTTAAATAAGTATCCATATATGAAGAAGATTTGCTGAGGACGTGGGAAGATATGAACGTGGGGCTGTCGTATAACCAGGATTTAATCCTATTGTATCCAGGACTAAGTCCTTGTCACAGATTCGTACAGTAATGAATAGACCATTTAGCATGATTAATCAGGTATTTAGCCATGATTTAATCCTGGCAGCTGACTTGAAATCTGGATTCCTGTCTGCAAATGCAATCACTTTACGCTCACTACGACGAAGCCCTATCAATGCTGCCTCTACGAAAAGCTCCATGTCAAATTTACAGAGTTGCAAGGTAAAACTAACTTGTATTCAATGAAGTTAAAGACATGCATTCAATGTAGTTAATGCACGCGAGACTTACAACCAGCACAATTAGCTTGTCGATGTCGCGATAATGGTTGAAGCGATTTCTTCGTCGTTGTCTATATTGTCTTCATCGCTCGGGGCCTTGTCTTTTTTTTCTCGTCGTCGTCTGCGCCGGGTGTTGCTGCACCCGAAGCGTCATCCAAAGGAAGCAGACGACCCTCCAGCAAGTAGAAGAATAAGTTGACGCGACGTCTCGTGAGCGACTTGTCACTGATATCTACGTGAAGTCCAGGAACGGCCTTACAGAGGAACATCCAGCACACGTACACCCCGCAGCTGGGCCCGTCGAACTGGATGGGGTTGTTTCGCGCGATCACGTTGAAATCTTGCAATCCAGAGATCTTGAGATTCGTCGCGACACCCCTAGCAGTGTTCATGTATGGATCTTGGTTTAGCAGATCGTAGTAGTAGACTCTCTTCTTCTTGACCTTGACCACCACGCAGCACCAGT